GGTTGTCAAGTAGAGTCTCGGGGAGCAGATAGTCTAGAAGGAGCATCACCCCTGAAATAAAAAAGGAGTTGCGAGATGTTTGTGCGCTAGGAGATTGTATGCTATGGTGTGGTCTACGTGATCCCTATGCTTGCTAGCTGATCGTCCTGGATGGTTGGTGTTGTTGTGTCGTCCTCGTCTTGCCTGCATGGCCAGGCTGCCCATCGTACATTTCCCTCTTCACTAACTAGTTAACTATTCCTCTGTCTTAATGCCCTATACCAGAATTCACCGCCTTTAAGAATTCTGCTAGTTCTACCGATTTAAAACTCCTAGTCGGCAGTATATTTAATAGGAAGGCGGTCCAGAAAGACACTTACTCTATGCTTACTTACTCTATACTTACTTACTCAGGTATACTTAACTACTTATCAGCTTCTAATAGTCGTAATTAGTTTGAAATTTATAACTCTTTTAGAGAGGGGCATTTTAATTAATTAGACCTTCAAATTTGAACTTAATACGACCGTTGGAAAGTGAGTAATTAGAGAAAATATAAATTGCTGTATACTCATTACAGCTATGGAACAGCGTATGGCTAGCTGACTAATTTTCTGCTCGGCAGAAAATTAGTTTTGTCGTAGTGGTCCGATCCGTCGCCCATAATTATCACCTGAAACACTATTCCCTATATTTTATCTTCTGGCATACCCGAAATACCCTCTGCTAAATTGCTGCTTAGTATGCATCGGGGCTGCATACGACCTAATAAATAATCAAATCAAATCAAATCAAACCCCGAAACTGCACTCTCCTCGCCATGATGTAATCGATCGTGGCATCGTAACTTCCAATCTTGCAAGTCATCAATAAACACGTCGTGATCACCTTTCTTGGCATAAACCACGCCCTTGAACATGATATTTCTCCACACAATGTTCAGTTCACATCGCATTACCTGTCTTCGGGCTTTTCTTCTGGCTTTTGCGCTTGGGCCGGTCAATGCTGCATCAATTGACCACAGCGACCTTGTTATACATGATGATGGAGGCCCCGCAGTGTGGCCCACTCCGCAAGAAATCACGTTCACAGGCGGAAAGGTATCGCTCACGGGTAATGTCAATATCGTGACGGACAATTTCAAGGACTCCGCTACGATCTCTACGGTCAAGGGGGTTGTGGCTGCTGCCGGTGGTGATGCTGTTCTTGCCTCCAAGCCCAGCAGTAAGGGTACACAGATTTTTGTTGGCACAGAGGCGGAAGCCGGAGTCGCTGTCGCTGCTGCCAAGGCTCTTGCTGGAAATTCCGCGAATGACCTCGACGCTGACGGCTATGTTCTTGCATCTGGCAAGTATGAGCAACAGCCAAGCATTGTACTCAATGGTGTAGACACCCGCGGCACATTCTATGCGGCACAGACTCTTCGTCAACTTCTCGCCGATGACCATATTCCCGGTGTCAAGGTGCGCGACTGGCCGCTCATGTCTATCCGTGGCTCGATCGAGGGTTTCTACGGTGTTCCCTGGTCTCATGAGGCGCGTCTCGACCAGTTTGCATTCTACGGAAAGCATAAAATGAACACCTATGTCTACACGCCCAAGTATGATCCACTTCTCCGCGCCAAATGGCGTACTCTTTACAGCGGCGACGAGCTTACCCAGCTCAAGGAGCTTGTCCAGACTGCAAATTACCATCATGTCGACTTCACCTACGCTCTATCGCCCGGCCTAGACGTATGTTACTCGGCTGACGAGGACTTCAACGCTACTGTCACCAAGTTTGACCAGCTGCGTGAATTTGGTGTCAGCAGCTTCTACATTCCTCTCGATGATATCGCCCTCAAGTTCCATTGCGATGAGGACAAGAGGAAGTGGCCGGAAACGGAGAATGATGGATGGGTTGCCGACGCCCAGGCATTCTATCTGAACCGTGTCCAGACGCAGTACATTGAGCCAAACGATCTCGAAGACCTCGAGACCGTCCCAACCGACTACGCTGGCAGTGCACCTACCCCGTACAAGAAAGAATTCGGCACCAAGCTGAACAAGAAGATCCGCGTTCAGTGGACCGGCGAAGGAATATTCAGCGACAATATCACAGTCGAAAGCATCGTGAGAGCCGACTCGAGCTACGTCACCGACAACCTTTTCCTATGGGACAACTTCCCAGTCAACGACAACAACCGTGACCGCCTATTCCTCAACCCGCTCACAAAGCGTGCCGCCGAATTATACAAGTGTCTTGTTGGCTTCACCTCGAACCCGATGAACCAACCATACGCCTCTATGGCCGCGCTCGCCAACTATGGCGACTATACGTGGAACGCGCCATCGTACAACGCCACCAAGTCTATGAATGCAAGCCTATGGGAGCTTTCAGGTAGTGACACAACTGTCCACAACGCACTTATCGCATTCACAGACCTCAACCAGAACTGGCCATACCAAAGTCCCGAGGTCAATGCGCCCAAGCTTACCAAGGACATTACAGCTTTCTGGGCCGGTCGCAGAACCGGTTCCAGCGACGGAACTGAGACGTTGAAAGATCGCCTCGCACTCATCATCAGTATCCCTGATGTTCTCCCCAAAATGGCCACAAAGGCCTTTGCCACGGACGTGGCACCCTGGACAACTGTTGCTAAGCAGTGGGCAACTGCTTGCAAGCACTTGATTGCCATGCTCGAGGCAATCGATGATAAAGATCATTGTACAGCAGATGCCGAGTTCAAGTCTGCCAAGGAGTGGGTTGAGAAGACAAAGGCTAAGACTGTCGATGACCGTAATGCCAACGGTGAGGACCTTCCTAAGTCGATCGTCCCGACTACCGGTGACGGGGCGTTTGACAAGTTCCTCACTGATGCCACGGATATCTACAATGCTAATAGATGCCGATAAACTTGGTAAAACAAGTCAGAGAGACAGACATAATGCATGCAAATATTGATATGAATTAGTCAGTGTCGTATGGATAAAAACAGTCAACCATAGTTAACACCACAAGTAGGAGGGAAGAAGCTGACAGAAGAACGCTAATTATTGCAGAATATCGGACTGGAAATGAGAAGCTGACCTACACAAGTACCATCCTAACGTATCATTCTGAGCCAGACTTCCTGCCTAAGGTGGATATGATCTTTTCTACTCCCTAGGATTGGTCTTCTTTTCTCCCTCCCTCCCTCGGTCAACAACTAAATTGACTTCAAGCTTTCTATCCCATATCTCTCTGTCTACAATATTACTGGTATTCAGAAGACGCGGAATGAGTCTCCTGAGACGGGACCTTCGCGCAACCTCCTATCCGCTGCACATGTGCCAATTCCGTATTTGCAAGTTGGCGCCGTTGAGCCCTCGACAACTTCCCGTCTAGGAGAAGTTCGATTAGCCCTCGGCGCTGAAATATTGACACGAAGAATATGAAATCAGAGTTAGCACCTTAGAGTTGGTCTAATTCCAAATATAGCCAATGCAGTAATATATACATATTCTATACATGCTTGTTTATATATTTACAGATATTCCCAGTTGATCCGCTAGGTCAGGTTCTTACGCATCGTCGATAGATCACTCTGCGAGAACCCAAGTTTATCAATGAGATAGACCTCAACACCGTTTTTATAGGAATTCTCAAATGATACCAGGAAAGCCTCCATAGAGCTGGCTCGAGCACCACACATTTCAAGCATACCCAGTGCCTCGGGGCTCAACTGGCTGAAGTCGGTTTCACCGGATTCTGTGTTTACCGCGAATGCCTCCATGAGGTTATCCCTGGCGCCTTCCATTACAACTCGAGTGAGGATGTAATCGTTGATAATATCCTCATGGGGTCGATGGATTAGGAGGAGGACGAGAGAGGCGAAAACACCTGTTCGGTCCTTACCGGCTATAGACGGAAACCTATGATTAGCATTTGTCGATTATGAATGGGATTTTGCACGCGACTATACGAAAACAGCCATGAGAGCAAGGTGGTACACGTGGCACGTACCTGAGCAATGGACGATAAACGGGTCGTCTGGGTTATCTCTGATATGCTTGAATATCTCGGTGAAACATGGGACAGCCGCTTCGAGGATCCCGAAGTACATCTTCACGAACCCTTGGGCGCCCTTGTCTTCGCCCGCAAAATCGCGGAGATTCAAAGTGGCCGGTCGATCTCTGTATGGTAGCCATATCGTCTCGACTCCTGGGATAGAGGGTGAAGGGGCTCTTTGTCGCTCGCCTTCATTCCGGAGGTCGAAAATTGTGGTGATTCCCAGTTCGGTTGCGATGATGGATTTCCCAGAACCGAAGATGTTTGACAGGTTTCCCGAACGATACACGAATCCCGGACGTACTTTGTTGTTATCATGGCTCAGATCGCGAAAGTTGGAGACACCCGGTATAGGGATAAATGGCGGCAGGGATGAGATCCTGGTTACGAGTTCATCGGGAATAGGAGTCCTGATGTCGGTATTCAATACCTCGCGGAATTGATCGGTTTCAGACATGATTGTACAAAGAATTGAAGACAGAAAGCACAGTCGAAGATTCTTAGGAAAGCGATTCGAACTATGTCATCGTCTCCATCAGATAGTGGAGCCGAAGCCTCCAAGGCTGGTACAGGCACCGATGTCATCATATCCGACCTCATTAGGAACACCCGTGGACTTTATAGAGAATAGTTACATGAAATATTTTCAATGGGCTTTTTCCAAAAAAAGTTAGATATCTTTTTGAATGTCTTAGATATGTTCTATATACCCCCTTATTGGTAGTTTTAACTCATCTTATACACTCGGCTGTGCTTGACTTTATACACACCCAAGTTCTAGACCATGAATGAGACCATTTAGAGGTAAGCAGCAAACAAATAGCAAACAAAAAAGCAAACAGTATTTATGTATTTATGTATTGCCCTTGGTGTAACTTCAACTTTCCACCAATCAGCGCCGTCTCTATCCTCTCATACCAACTTGTCCACCTAACCATGGAATACAAGCATCGGCGCCAGGATCTCAGACTTACCCCTGGATAAAATAAACAATGGCGCGTCGATGCAGCAGTCTTCCGGTACCAAGAGAACGGGCAATTTACCGTCCTACTTCTGAAGCGTGCCAACGGCACGGCCACACATGGATAGTGGAATCTTCCAACAGGCCCAGTTCTAGACGACTATCGCCGATTCCCTGAAGCGCAGAGTCCTCGACAAGACAGGTCTTGGACTCCAGGGCTACTACCACATCCGGGAAGTAGAATCATTGACGTGGGGATCTGAAGAACAGGTAATTACGAAACTCAACTTTGTGATCCATGATACATCTGCCAACATCGTCGCAATCCACGCTCTGAATTATTCGACCATCAATGGGTGGAGGAGGAACGAATTGACTCTCTCTCTCATCCCTGTCGCAATGCAGGATGTGATACGCGAGGGATTTGAGCCACACCGCTAGGGAGCCATATGAGGTGTGAACCTTGAAGCCTCATTCTAGGGAAGGAATAGGATTACAAAAGACACAATCGATTGAGATCTTCCAATGTTGATTTGTTCACTCTCCGTATGGTTGTAGAATTATCTTCCCCGCATCAACCGGATACTCGGTTGGCCGCGGAGTGACGCCAAAATGCCGACGCCAACCGCTCTCCGCATCCCCCAGATCTAACATTCAAAGACCTTGGGATTTCTCACCTTTCTACCATTGAAACAAATTGAAACTACAATGTTAATAGCAACAGAGAGCATAATGTCTCTAAAGCTCCTGACTCGGGGTGGTCTCCGCAGCCAGTCCATAACTACAGCGCGCATCGTCCCCGCACGGAGGTGGAGTAGCTCCATCTCGCAGCCGCCGGGGTCAGACAGGTGATCACTTCAAGGACAATGTTTTTTTTAGAGAAACGCTGATGAGATGTTGATATGTTTAGTGTTCGATTTCCCGGGGCCGTGAACAGCAAGTTCACCTCAGAGATGGCCTTCCTTAAAGCCTCGGATCTGCCCGCTATCCCTACCTACCGAGTGATGGACTCAGACGGTTGCCAGGTTGATAAGAAGAGACCGGCACCTGATGTTACGAACGAGGAGGTCTTGACATGGTACAAAAATATGCTATCTGGTTAGTTATCCCACGCTTGATGCGCTATCAAGTACCTAACCTCTAGCGTGCAGTAAGCATTATGGATGTGGTCATGTTCGAGGCACAACGGCAGGGTCGCTTAAGTTTCTACATGGTAAGTTCAATTATTTAAGATTGAGATGAAGAAAATAAATAACTCATCTCACCGTCTATCTGCAGGTCTCCGCCGGCGAAGAAGGGATCACAGTTGGATCTGCCGCGGCGTTGACACCAGACGATGTGGTCTTTGCACAATATCGCGAAGCCGGTGTATTCCAACAACGTGGATTCACCCTAAAGAACTTTATGAGCCAACTCTTTGCCAATAGCAACGATACAGGCCGTGGTCGGAATATGCCAGTCCACTATGGACAAAACTATCCCCGCATTGTTAGTGCCACCACCTCTTTACATCAATCTACTTTTCCTAACGATATAACCAACAGCACACAATCTCATCCCCATTAGCCACACAAATTCCTCAAGCTGCCGGCGCAGCCTATGCGCTGAAACTCCAAGACCTCCAAAACCCAAACCGGGACCCACGCATCGTGGCCTGCTATTTCGGCGAAGGAGCCGCCAGCGAAGGTGACTTTCACGCCGCGCTAAACATCGCCGCTACACGGTCTTGCCCGGTTGTCTTTATATGCCGAAACAACGGCTACGCAATCTCAACGCCAACGCTAGAGCAGTACCGGGGTGATGGAATCGCCAGCCGTGGCGTGGGATACGGCATCGACACGATCCGCGTAGACGGAAACGACGTCTTCGCAGTAAACGAAGCGATGAAAGAGGCGCGACGACTTGCCCTAAGCGAGGGCGGACGGCCTGTGCTCATTGAAGCCATGAGCTACCGTGTCTCGCACCATAGTACCAGCGATGACAGCTTTGCGTACCGCGCCCGCGTCGAGGTTGAGGATTGGAAACGTCGTGATAATCCTATCATTCGGCTGCGGAAGTGGCTTGAGAATCAGGGGATTTGGAGTGAGGAGCAGGAGAAGGAGACGCGGGATCAGATGCGCAAGGCGGTACTTAAGGAGTTTGGCGCGGCGGAGCAGGAGAAGAAGCCCTCGCTTAGGGAGGCATTTGCGGATGTTTATGAGGAGATTACGGAAGAGCAGAGGGAGCAGATGACGGAGCTCAAGCGCATCTTGCAAACATATCCTGATGAGTATGACCTGCGGCCGTATAAAGATGGGATTAATGGTCTGGATTGAAAGGACTTGCCTCTACAAAATAGACATGCGACCCTTAGGGCGTTAGAGCGTTCTAATACGAGTACTAAATCGATATATATTTCGAAGATGCCCAGAAAATGATGTATCCCGGTTGCATTGGTTTATGGGATCTTCTGTGGTTTCTATATAAACAATCCAAAACAACACTCGACCACATGCAGTCTTGACATAAGAATGATCAACATCTAAGCATAGTATATACTCAGCTCTGAAACTGACGGTACCCCCTGCGCTTAACAAACCGATTTTGTGCGACAGCAACTGCAACCTTAGTCACAGTAGTGAGATTCATATAATTATCATCCGAAGCCAGATAAATAGCACCGAGACCCATATCCTTCGCCAACCGAACAACATTATCAATATTGGCATCTTCAGGCGTCTGATTCAAGATAACAGCATCCTTTCCATAGTTATCAGGCGTCGAGAAGCGATCATCAGGAGCCGAAGCCACCCAATTAGCATAAGTATTCTCATACTCCACAATAAAGTCCGCTGCCGCGAACCACTTGGCAACATCTGCCACAAGCTTGACACCAGGGTTGAAGATAACGATGGTCAAGTTGCTGCTCTTAGATTTTCGAGAGAGGTTTTCGAAATAGGCGAGCTTGCTCGGATCTTCGCCGTTCGCCGCCTCGTCGAAGAAGGTCCCGGAGAGACCGATATTCTGCTCTGCATAGCTGGCCCATTTAGCGTAGATAGCGATGTCCTTTTCGACTTCGGAGCTGTCTCGCGTTCCTTGTTTTGTGTAGGTGTATCCTAGTATCTTGGTGTTGGGATAGCTGTTTAGCTTGGCGATGGCGGTTATGAAGACGTCTTCTGGGTATTCTGTGTCACCGGGACCCGTGGACGGGTTGATGATTAAGTAGAATGGGATGGATGGATGGGCTGCAATTGAGTCGTAGAGTGTATTCCATTTGTCTGTTCCGGGCCAGGCGTATAGTGGTACTAGTAGGCCGGTCGATATGGCAGTTGAGGCTAGTGTAAACAGAGTAGCTATGACAGAAAGTAATTGAAACATCGTAGTGTTTGAACGCGAACAAACAAACGGATGAATATAGCATCAGAGAGGGCCAATGATGTAGAAATGAGCGCAATGAAGAAATAAAGACTAACAAGGCGGGAAATAGTATACTCAGTGAGTTACTCATTATACATGCCAGCCGAGAAAGTCGGGAAAATAATCTCCCATGGGGAAGAAAGGGATCGGATAGCGACAGAAGCGTCAGGTATCAGCCTCAATCCCTATTGCATCAGGCCGAAAGTAGTAAGAGACTTGACATATTTAGGAATGACGGAAATCAGCCACATGTTTCAGGGCTAGACAACCACCTTGAACCTGAATCGTCAAGGAGCGTGTGATGCCAAGAATGAGCTAATGTTGGATCCCTTCGGAGGAATGAGCCTTCATTAAATGTCTAGTCTTGATTAAAATGTACGGAGTAGAGGAATGTGGAAGTTGACAGATCCAGCCCTGGCGGAGTCGGTGATTGATCCCTTGACGCATTCCTCTATTGACCTGTAGACATTGATGTTCTGAGCCATGTTAGCCGATGATAATTGGAATTCGATATGTTTTCTCACTTGTAACTACTATAACTTAGTGGACGGGGTAGGCTCCGTCTTTAATTTCCCGGTTGGGATCATGATGGCAGGCAGGTAGGGGTATATATATCAGACACAAAACTGGTAAGAGTCAATTTCGGATATGTGCCGATATTCACTTGGCGTTGAAGAATCAAGTTGTTTCATTGCGTGCCAGGTGAGGATAGGCCTAGAAGGTGCATATTTCATGGAAGGGTTGGAAATTAGATTACTAGAACGTATGTCGACAGATGTAACAAGTATTCTACAATGATTCGTTCAAGCTAAGATAGATGTACATGCAAGGAGATTTAAGTCCGCCCAGGAAGCTGCGATTGCAAAGGGAACTGAGAGCTCCGGTCCAGGATAGTGTGGATGATTACACTTCCGGCCCAGCAGCAAGATTCAATGCCTGCTGCTGAAGCTTCTTGTTGCGTCGAAGCAGAGCTGCGAACTTCTTGTCTAGCGAATCCATTTCTTTCCGGGTGAGCTCGAGGTCCTTTTGAGAACGACCAGAGAGCTCCTTCAGTTCCTCGTTGGTCAAACCAGCAACGTCGTCGAGAGTGGGGTTGGTGCCGACCATGCCCGGATTGCCCAGCATGTGCTGCGCGGTGACTGCGGCGAAGGAGCGCACGGCAGCAGGGGTGGTGTTGAGAAATTCTGCCGAGTTGGCGACAGCCCAGTCATGGTTGCGGGTGCTGTCTGCTTCCATGGCCGAGAGGACATTAGGCGGAATCACGGATTCCGCCGCCTCAAGAGAAGATGACGGGGACGTGGCACCTAGGCGAGTGGGCATGTCGTCGACCCAGCAGATGTTGAACTTCTCCGGGTTCGCGAAGAGGGCTTCCAGGCCCCCGCTGGGATTGCTTGCGTCGTCTCCAATCATGAAAGCATCCGAGACACCGGTCATGTTCTTCTCAAGCTCTAGGTATCGTTCCTCCTCTTCTGGTTCGAGGTGGCGTAGGACGCAGCCGCGGGGTGTGATAAGGCATCGAGTTTTGAGGAAATCATCGCCAATTCGAACCGGCTCTCCACGAAGTAGAGTTTTCCGATCCTCCTCAGTCAATTCGTTGGGACACTGGAGATAATCGTAGTCCTCCGCAGTGCACTTCATGTCGGTCCGCTGGCTGAGGTTGCTAGGGTTGAAGAGGGAGCTCTTGTTGAGATCAAGTTCGCCGGACTTATGCATCTCAGCGAGCAACTCGTGAAGAGGCTTCGTTCGTTCCATGAAAAGATCCTTGATTGCCCTTCCAAGGGCCTCGGAATCCTTGACCAACCGTCCAACTGTATTGTTTGAACGCCATGGCTCTACGGGGGCTTCCTTCTGAACAGGAAGCTCTTCGACAGGGGGTGGGGTAGGCTCTCTGACGGGCTTGGTCTCTTTGGCTTTCACTTTCTTTGCTGTATCCACCTTGGGTTCAGCCTTGACTGAAGGAACGTTCACTGGTTTTAGAGGGCTCGACTTTTCCGGGCCAATGGCAGCGGGTGCATCAGCTGTGCTGACAGTGGCGGCCGTGGGGG